TGCTAAATTCCCTTTAATAATACTTGGGATTGCCCACGCAATGCGTGGATTTAAAATGGTAAAATATGCAATAATTTGTACCGTATCGATTATTTGTGTATTTAATATTACAAAAAATTGGTCTTTAGACTAAGCACTTGTAACAAATTTCTAATGGATTAATAAATTATTGGACATATACAATTTCTAATGTATAAAAAAGAGGTCGCTTACTAATAAAAATTGAATATGAACTGATGTGAGTTGATCACTAAACACATTGTAACGTTGATAGAACCATACCAAAAACATCACGCAGTTTGGGTTTAGAAAAATCTTACTATTTTATATGCGTTCATATTTTCTCTATTCATATTCAAAGTATAAATTTAGTATCATATTAAAAATTCATATTCAAATCTATTTATAAAATACAAGGATCATAAAATTAGATTATTACTATAATAACTTATAAAATAGTAAGAATTTTCAGATTTATTTTAATAAAATATATTTTGTTTATGTAGTTTTTGGTAAGAATTTAATTTTGTCTTTGTTGGAGAGATTTAATACCTTTTAATAGTGATGTTTAATTGTTCATAAATTACAAATTATCATTATTTGGTCGGTTTTTATCATGTAATAAATGGATGAAATTGATTTCGAGCCAATTTGGTCTTTTAATTTTCATCTAAACTTTCTGCTTTTATATAAGGCTAATTTCTTTTATATACCACTTTTTAATATATCGTTTTATACTTATTGAAAAATCAATGAACTTGATATGTTAGTTACACAATTAAGACTAAGTCATATATTTAAAATCAAATGAATTTTATCTTTTAAATGTACCGTTATTTTTATTCTTTGAATTTTGTTTGAAGAGAAAATATTTTTTTTATTTCTTAGTCAAGATAAATATCTATATATAAGTTATGAAAATTTCTCAAAAAATCAGTTTATGATTTTTGTTGGAAACATATATCACAAGTCAATAAAATGTAACTATGGTCTACGGATGTTTAAAAAATTTATCAATAATATTTTATGTATTAGTTAAAAATACAACAACAATAATATAAAAACCTATACAATATTTTATAAACAGTTTTATCAAGCATCACATATAAATCAATGTTTTACCATTGATATCATTAATTTGTTTCTCATAGAGATCTATATTCGACAAATTTTAAACACTCTTAGATCTTAGTAATAAATATATTATTATTATTTCTATCATGTATAAATTTTTACTGTAAACAACATTTTTTCATTTTATACAATATTTTATTAACATCGAGAAGTAACAATACTGTTATAGGTAAAAGATTTTGATTATTTTTTGTGATATTCTATAACGATGGTTTACACTTTTAACATGGTTTACATATATAATATAGTTTACACTTTACACGGTTAAGTAATATAATATTCAGTGCCACGTAACTCATGAATGACGAGGAGTAAAATGGTATCTGTGTTTCTATTTTCGTACGTAGTACATACCCGTGCCACTTTTTGATTGGGTCAATTTGCCAAATAACCATAAAAAGAAAATATATCTAAAAAGCTAGCAAAAAATCCTAGATCTAAGGGATATAAATTGATCACATAGGATAGTTTTAATTAGATTTTAAAATACATTTTTTTTTATGGTTATTTGATCCAATTTCCCTTTCTTGATTTCCCAATTAAAAAATTTAGTATTTACATTTTTTTTTTTTTGGTAAATGTTAGTATTTACATTTTTGTTCCACAAAACAATTTTCTACGATAAACACAAAACTATGACGGATAATTCTACCAATATAAATACAATATTCAAACATTCTATAAGTTTTGCATCTAGTATATAGAAACTGCATTTTCAAATAACTGAACCCCAAATTTAGTTTTAAAACCTTTAAATTTATAACCATTAGGCTTTCACCTTTTCTATTTGTCTTCTTCGGTACAATAAATTATATATTGTTATATAAAAATTTGGTGAAAAAAATATGAATAGATAGAGATTTTTTTTTTTTTTTTGGGGTCAAAAGATAGAGATCATATAATGAATATTTTTAAAAGAAAACCTGATGATTATGGGCCCATTAAAGAAATACGATCTATTAAGGCCCATAATGTTTCCTTCTAAGCCCTACCCCTAGTGTCCTCTTCTTCTTCTTCAATCATCTCCTTTCATCACTGAAGCAACCTTCGCGCCGCCGACAAACAGAGAGATGGGGAAGAAGGCGAAGACTTCAAGGAAAGGGAAAAAAGCATGGAGGGCTAACATAAGCACCGAAGACATTGAAGATTTCTTCGAGAAAACCACCAAAGACGCTCTCTCCGGCGGCAATCTCTCCGCCGCTTCTAACAAGGATCTCTTCCACGTCGAGAAATCCCATGGTTATCCTCTTCACCTCTCTCACTAGGGTTTAATTTAGAGTCTCATATCTCAGTTGAGTTTGTGGGATTAGCAAGAGTAATGAAATTTCCCCCTTTTAGTGTTTCTGAGTCATCGTCTTCGTCAAATTAGGATTCCAAGTTTCGTACTTTTCCGAATTGAAAGCAAAAAAAAGTATTTGTTTTGGTGATGATTACTTATCTAGCTGCTTGATACGATTTGATTGGGGCCATTAATC